ACCAGGATGTCGTGGGAAACAACATCAAACGCCTTGCTGAGATCGCAAAGGCTTAGATGTACGGACTCACCATTTTCAAAGGCGTCAGTAATAACATTAGCAAGGTTGGTGAGAGCTGTTGTGGTGGACCGCCCACTCCTGAATCCGTGCTGTGCATTATTTAGTAGCCTATTCATTTCAAGCCACTTGACTAGTTGCCTTTTCATTATCGTCTCAAACACTTTAGAGAATATAGGCAAAATGGAAATCGGTCGGTAGTTAGCGGGGTCAACGGGATCTCCTTTCTTGTACACCGGTATTGTGCGCGCTAACTTTAAGCAATCAGGAAAAACCCCTTTGCTGAGACAGGCATTTACTAATTTAGTTAAAGGGTCAATTATCGTGACAATGATTCCCTTTAGTACTGTACATGAAATTCCATGAACGTCCTGGTTACTAGACTCCTTAAACCCATTTACAATTTTAAGGATGTATGAGGTATTCACTCTCTCCCAAACATTGAAGGTGTGTTCCGTTGATATGCCACACAACGCTTCGCAAGGATCTGTGTGACTAGTAGGCAAGTCAGCAACTATCTTGTCCGCTACCTGTACAAAGTAAGTGTTAATCTCATCAGGTGTCAATGATGGTTTCGGCTTTGCTTTAGACCCCTTCCTATGGGCATTAACTAGATCCCAAGCTGCTTTGCAGGTATTCGCTGCCTGACTAATATGCTCTATATTACTAGTCTTTTTTGCTTCTCCGACCTGAATGCTGTAATCTTTTTTAGTTTTGGTATACAGAGCAAAATAATTAGCTTTTTTAATAGGGTCATGTTCGGCCTTGTAGAAGTCATGAAGTAGGATAGACCAAGCGCGCATCCTGGCCAGTTCAGGTGTATACCACTGTTTGCTCCTAGTTATATCCTGTTTGTTTTTAGTTACTAACCCAGGCTTTTTTTTGACAACTCTATATAGCAGGGAAGACAGAGTCAAAAATATTTTTAAACTTATCAAAAAAATGAGCAAAAAGCTAGCTCAGGATCTGTAACAGATTTTGGCAAAGACCAAGTACTTTTTTCTAATTCTCTTCGTAATAGCAACGCGTACTAAGGTATGTATTTAAGCCCAACTGAATGCAGAGAATGAAGTGAAAAGTGAAATGATGATCTGTGTAGCTTTGAGATCAGCTGTTTTAGTCAGGATCTTTTAAAAAAACCCAATGATCAAGGACAGCTGGGCACAATTTATTTCGATCTAGCTGCTGACTTCTGAAAGCTTCTGACTTTACTCAGGATATGACCGAAACGGCAGCCTTCTGATTACCAAGCAAGCACTTAACCACTCCACTATTTCAGCTGGGGCGTATTCTGAGTAGATCGACAATGGCTGCCGTATAATTGATATAAACACACCTCCGCTCGAAAGTCAATGACTACATCGTAGCTCGTAGCCAAACTAACTGTCGCAGATCACGAGGGCGTTGATCGCTGACAAATTGATCATTAGGACACAAATCACTGAGACTTTGGCCAAACTGGCTTCACTAATCACAAATCTTCTTTATACATTTCGCACATTAAATATTACTTTCGTGGTTTACTGAAGGAAGTACCAACCTCTTGGTTTTGGATACTTAATAGACATCTGACATCTCGTCCATAAGTCTACTGATACAGTCTTAAACTTTGCTTATCCCTTAGTGACTTGAACTGTGATATTAGTGTAATATCGTGACTTATATCAAGCTACAGTTCCCTATTTTGTCCTTTCAGTTTCGATAGGTCGAAAAATATGTGTATTCGACAATAATAATTTAGTACTTGATATCAGCTCAATCGGTGGTTCATCCCAGCCACGTCAATTTATTGTAAACGTGCCTGTAACTTTTACATAAGAAAAGAGTCAGCTTCGATAAAAGTCAATCTTTTTTATGGTTCCCAATTGGACTTGGCTTTCCTTGTCCATCAGGCTGTTATATTATACTGGCCTAAAACCAGCTGATCTTAGTCAGTAACAAATCTATCATTCACCAATCTTCGCCTTGAAATACGAATTGTGCGTCAGCGTACCACTATAATCTCTCGAGACTTTAATCTCTATCAATAATAAATACTATGTCCGTCGGGTTTAGTTCAACTTGGAAAGTTATCAATATAACTATAAAATTAAGTATTGCAAAAGATGTTAAGGACTTAGTGTAGTAATAATCAGCGTTTGGGGAAGAAATGATTTTAACTGAAATATTTGATTGTATCGCAAAGTAGTGTGACACAAAGTTTGCCACGGAGCAGCTAGTCTCCGCGTTGTCACATTGCCACATCGACTGTGGTGTGGCAACATTGTGATCTGTTACGGTCTGTTGGACACCAGTGTTCGATACATAGCTGTACTGTATAACAACGATAATAGCAATAAGATCACCTGAGTCAGAAAGCTTTGACTTTTGGATATTGAAGTATTTATACCATCTAAAACCAGCTGTACCATGGTGGAAGGAAAAAACATAGGTGTGCTATTCCCACAAATTCTGACGTCACTCGGATTGCAAACAAAAGATCACCTGATTGTAACTGTCAAATTAGTATGCATTTGTTTTGATTTGATTATAAAAACAATAACAACCAAATCAAAACAAATACATATACTAATTTGAAAGTTACAATCAGGTGATCTTTTGTTTGCAATCCGAGTGACGTCAGAATTTGTGGGAATAGCACACCTATGTTTTTTCCTTCCACCATGCAGCTGTACCATATGAGATTGTATACAATAGATCCATCCTATCTATATGGACCAGCTGTAGCAAATGTCTCATTGAAATAACATAGGTAAATGTGCCACACTGAGTGCGCTGTTGTAGTTCGTAAAATATTTTCCATAAATTATGACGTTTGATGCGACATGCTTTAGACTTAACTTTGTTAAATTTCTGTGTATTCGATAGTAACAAGAACAAGTAATCGGCAACAACGCAAACTGTAACGTGTCTTCACCTTCCACCAATACAACAGCTATCATAGGAGTCTACTATAAATGGTGTTAAAGACGACAGCTAGAGGGTTTTGTTTTGGTTTCGAAACTGTATAAGAACGATTATATCGACAACACTTTATCGAATCATCGATAGATCTATCGAGGCTCGAAAATCACAACTGCAAGAAAGATTAAATCAACAATACACTATCTCGACATCGACAGATGTGACTAGATCACGTTTATAAACCTTGTCAAACTATCGCATCATAAGCAGGTGTTTGGGTAGATATAGCTGTTACCGATTGGATCTCTGTCGGAGTTTATCACGAGTACCGATACCTTTGGACAGTGAGTGGATGGCGAGGTTTGTAAGAACAATCACAATTTCTCAGTCAACAAATGATGAGTGTTTTGACATAAAAAACGTAAGTAACCATCTCAACAGAGATAATTGGTTACACTAAAAACACTCATGATTTTTATAGTCACTCTTGCAGTTAGAATTTCTACCGAGTTTAAAACAGTTTTTGTACATTTAAACAAGATCTATTAGAGAAGACTATTACGAACAATCTGGTGAATTAAACTTCAAGATATTGAACTCACAATTGCCAGTATTGTCACCAAAGTTTGTTTTGGACGTAAGCCACAAGAAGTGTGAAAATACACTGCTATGTCTAGGTTTGCACCGAGACCTCGCAATTATCTAATCCCCGGTTAGTAGTGTCATTCGCTAAGGATTTACACATAAACTAACAGTGTAAATTATCTATATCTATAAAGACAAAAACAAACGTCAAATACAAAGTGGATTGCTAGCGATAAACAAATCATTGATCTTGATAAGACAAATGAAAATACCACTAAACGTCGTCATAACTGATGCAAACAATCTTGTGTTTTTCATTGTCAGTTTTTCTTGGTCAGATGATGCGTCTAGGATAAAAACATGAACAAACTGATAGAGCAAACACGTTTTTTACTTAGCACGCCAACAAATTAACACTTTGGTTTTTCTGAAATAATCTTTAGCCGAGTTTACACAGGAATTGCGACTAAATGTTGAAACTTTTGTTAACAACTGATGTTGTAAAAAAACGTCTAACACATTGCTTTAAAAGTGCAGCAAACTCAATTTCAATCACTGAATAACTGTTGAAAACATTTGAAGAAACCCAGCTTGTTGTATTGTTGTATGGTTGTAATTTTAGTTCAAAACATACAGGGTGAATAAAAAGTCAAGACCCCCCCCCCCCTCTAATATTTTTCCAAGTAAACATACAGAGATATCCTTTTGGTGGTCGTGCAATCTTAGCAGGAAGTTTCATTTTATGATTTTTAAATTTTTGAGTGTCCCCCCAAAAGGGGGGATTTGGGGGGTAACTCAAATATTTTAAATGTAAACCCCCTTCAAGTGACACCTCATTTTGAAGTGTTTACAAAAACTTAAAGAATGGTGAAAACTAGAGGTCGCTATCTATTCTCTATCCAAAATGAGGTGTCACTTGAAGGGGGTTTACATTTAAAATATTTGAGTTACCCCCCAAATCCCCCCTTTTGGGGGGACACTTAAAAATTTCTAAATCATAAAATGAAACTTCCTGCTAAGATTGCACGACCACCAAAAGGATATCTCTGTATATTTACTTGGGAAAATATTAGAGGGGGGGGGGGGGTCTTGACTTTTTATTCACCCTGTATAAAACATCGAAGTATTCGCGGTTTACCGTACTTTCGAATGCCGATATTATTATAGGAAAAGTTAGCTTTTCGAACAAATTAACACCACTCTAAATCAAAAGTGGGCAAAATTTAGTTTAGTAAGTGATCTTAAATATGAATTTAGCTTAGCGGGCTCATTATTCGTACGCCCAAAGTATGGCCTAATTAAATACTTCTATTTGATACTGTAAGTAAGTCACTATTTGGTAAGTCAACCGCAGGATGTGTGATGACTGACAGGAAGCGGTGTTGTGATATACAGATAGACAGAGGCTACAGCACACAGTATGCACAGGATATAACAATGTGTGATGGACTTACCGTTACGGTACACAAGTGTGCAGCCTGCTACATCTCCTTCAGCCCCGATAATGTCCTGCACCTACGGAGCAAAATCTTCATTAAACATTCAAAAATAATGTAACTAGCCAGTTTACACCTACTGTATATCGTTGTTTAACAACTGAACTTCCATAAATCAAACATTCTATATAACAAGATCAATTACAAGTAAAATCACTAATATACACACAATGACTGAGTAGTGAATAAGATTGTCTACATAATTCGGATTACAGACAAGCACGGCGAAGAGACAACTATTCTTTCCGGAAAACCGTTTCCGTTGAAAATTGCTCTAGTGTCTCGTTATATCAACATTATTTTTTAAGATAAAGATAGTCCCAAGGTTAATTGTATGGTCAATTGGTTACAGTTAATGCCTTCAAATCCGAAAATGGTTAAATCCAAAGCAAGAACATCAATTTTGGGCCCAGATGTAGTTTGTCATTGCTAGAACAAGGCCAGAGTTTGGACCGTTCCCATAAAAACATAAAACTCTTTTGTTGTTTTGTTTGTTATAAAAACTGCACAAATATTTTATTTCAATGAAGGTAATAGCTTTTAATGACTTTACATGGATTCAAATAAATATTCAAGATAAAGGGAATATTTTAACATAAACTAGGGTTGTGTTGCTAGCCTAGTGGTTAGCGTCTCGGACTTCGGTGCGGGAGGGACGGGTTCAATCCCCGGCGCATCCACTAATCATTCTCTCGTGACTCTCTCGTGAAATGCCACTGGCGTTGACAAAAAAAATAAAAATAAATAATAAAAAAAGACTTACTGTATTTTCATTCCACCCTTATCCTTTCCCAAACAAACCAGGCTGAAATAAACACTTACAATAACAGGTGACAGAAGCCCGTTCACACTATAAAGCTGCTGGACATCACGTCACGACATGAGCGAAGAGAAAGTGTGCGCTTGACACATTGCATCACTCGTCACGCGTGTGTTGATCACGCTCAGGCTACGTCACACGTAACGCGACCAATGACAATATAATGGGTGCCGAAAATAATCTTAACAATCACAAGAGAGACGCCAATGACTGAGCAACCAAAGTGCGTACAAACGCTGATAAGCTATGGTAAAATACAGTGGTAGGAAAATCAGTCCCAGAGTCTACTGGCAACATTCTAAGGGTTGATGGTCAAATATTTTAGTGTTTCTGGACAACTAGTCCCCTCACAAATCCACATTAACCAACAGCTAGAAAGCAGGCAAACGTGAGGCAAAACATAAGCCCTGGAACTGATAGTCCGCCGGTTGATGTACAACATTTCAACAATAAAATTACAACGATCTCAATGGAACAGTACCTTTGTGTTACTAATAGCTGTGGTTCAGCCAGAAGGTAACTAAACCTAACGAGATCTATATAGTTGTATCCACTTTTTGGGACAAACAGTCCCACATAAACCTATCATTAGTGCTGGGACTGAATGTCCAGACTCGGAAAAACGTAACACTATCTCTGGTAAATTTGACCCACTGAGAGGTGAAGGTTAAACCACAGACAATATAATACTTTAATGATTCCATTGTCTGTGGTTAAACAGTGTGATTTATTGCACCCTCAATAGGATTGTGCTATGTGAATCAAAGCAAGACTCTATTGGAATGTCAATATCAATAAAGCTACATACATCCATAATCAGAAAAGAAACACGCATAACAAACACAAGTCCGAAACAACAGGTCACAATAAATTAATTACAATTTGAATCTTAGGTCGAATACTGTTAATCTAAAACTAAGCTTTAAAATCACAAGTCCGAAACAGTTAAAATCTGAATCTTGTCAAATGCAGATACACTGTAATCTAAAACTAAGTCAAGAACAACTACCAAAATGCTCCTAACAATTTGATAGTGTACAATTTCAAAGTATTTTACTATGAAAATTATAGGTGGTCTTTTGCAGCATGCAGCATGGACGATCGATGCACACGGATCAATGTGACATGTAACACGATCCCTGTTTGTCACATTGTTCCTTGCTCTATGAAAAGGGATACTTTACTCTATGTAGCGAGAGGCTTCTCAACTCCATGGAGTATGAAACAATGGCGACGGTCGATGACGGATGCGGAACCAGATTGTTTAGAGTTTCGCGCGTCGCCGAGAATCTGACAGACATTACAAAACTGCCTCGTTACTGTCATCAACTGGGCCACTTGGCGAACTTCGGCTGTTAAACTTCTGTAAAACTGTCAAAACCGTACAAAACGAGATTAAGTAGAGAAAAAATTAGTTTACGAATTTTACAGCCCGAGTTTCGTTTACGACTCGAGAAGCTGTTCGTTTACACAGATTGAGGGAATTCTTCACAATACGCTTGAACCATTGACTATTGCATACAGAAGTTGTACAGTATTAATAGTCAAAGCTTGAAATCACTGTTTAGCTGTTATGTTAGTTAGTATTTAATAATTTGTTTTGATGGACAATTTATTAAACTTTACAAACTACGCTAAGGCACTAACAAGAGGTATAATTAAGTGAATAAATTATTTGAGAAAATATTTTTTTTAAATCTAGTCCGAATTTAGTTTACTGATGGGGGATTGTTCAATCATTGTAAAACACGGTATCGTAAATTTAAAACTAACAATACCTACTGATCTGCTCAAGAGGTAAGCAATTATTAACACATTGTTTATTGTTTAACAACTTTAAACAGTTTTCCTCGTAGTAAATTTTATTTACACAACCGAAATTATTTCAATGCTTACATTCAAGTCCGAAGGTAGCTGGTTCGATCATATTTCGTCAATTTTCTGCATACAAGCTTAAATAAATAGTTTAAAAAGTGATACGGTGATCTAAACCATTTCTCGGTTGTCCGAATGTATGTGTTAACCAATTATACACAGAGTAATATAAAACCGAATAATCAAACAAAAACATGCACATAAACTTCTTTAGTAACAACGTATAAACTTTAGGTTTAACAACTGACATCGTAACTGTTTTGCAAGTTGGAAGCCCTGTGCAAATAAACCTGAATGCTCGTTGCAGACAAATAGGAGAGTTTACAAACATGTTCGGCGATATTTGTCAAAGGTCCGCAGAGTGGTGCATTAATGCATTACCACATACTCGCATCATCGCATGTATTGTTTAATAGAGAGTAGAGTTACATGTTATATCCGTGGACCGTACAACACAACGCATACATAGCACAGTACCAGTGATAATACGCTGCCTCTGCGCACAGAGTCGCGGTGAAAGAAACTAAATGAATTACACTATTACATTTTACAACGTATGACATTTTATTGTTAGTTCCGTCCGGTGCACTGTAGAGGTCGTGTTTTGTTTACAATTTGTTTCTTGTTATTTCAGTCAAAAACTCGTTTAACAAAAAAACTGTCTAACCATGAACAACAATACGGCCCCTAGTTATACCAACAGTAAAGCACAAATAATTAAATTAAACCTTAAATCAAAGAGACAGAATTTCCTCGTCCCTAGCGATCAGTGTCACCAACATGAAGTAGACACGAAAAACTAGCTTAAAAATGCACAATGTGATGAGAAGTCTACTAGTGTTAGTCTATGGTGTAACCTTATGTGATCGTTGGGTGTAACGCATCTTTGCCTCCCTAATCTTACGTAGCCTACGCACATTTAGGTGTGTATTTTAGGCTTTTCGTAAAAGTCCAATTATTATCAGTTGGGTCGAGTTTCGAACCAAACACAGTTGTCTAAACATTTCCACAAACTCACATATTTTAATGGTATAACTCAGTCAAGTAGAAGTAATCTTGTCTTGATGGTATTTTACGCAGGTGATCGTGTGACCTTGTGGAGAGACAGATTCAGAACGCTGAAGCTTGTAGATTTATCGTACCATTCCTCCCTCTGCCAGATCGATTCCCTACAAGGCTACTGTTTCACACCATCCCTCTTAGTCAATCCATCACGGACGGATTTCCCTCAAAACACTCACTCACTCTCGCACTGTGGCCACTGTTCTAAAGTGAAAAATAATATCCACGAGTCAGTTCTAGGTTTAGGAATTACCGAAAGAAAGACCTAAAGCGACAATCATTACACTTTACAACCACATTTTATTAGGTTGTAAACAGTAACAATGGCTACTAACGTTAACAACAGGCGTTTTCACTAACTTCAGTACTTCACATTACACGGACACGATTGTTGCCCTTTGTGTCTTCACACAAAATGTTGATGAAGGTTTGTAGGTTCGTGAATCATCCAAGAGCAAGATGGCTTTGTTTAGTAACGATTTTAATAGCCATTGGGTCAAACTTGTCATAAACTGAAAACCGTACGAATACTCTAGATCTGTTATTATTCTATTAAAAAAAAACCCCATTTTCTGGTTTGTGTTACTTTACTACAGTAAAAGTAACGTGCACTGTAGTTTTTCGTTCATGAGAATCTTTATTGGACCCGTTGCACATTGTAATAGGGTTCAAAATATGTTTCCGAGGCAAAACAAGCTCAATACAATGACAAATATTCTTAAAAAGAATATATTTGTTTAAAACAGTGATTAGTTTACTAAACTACAAATTTACAGAAAATTAATTTGGTTTATATTACATCTACAACATTGAGTGATTTACCTATCTAAGTTACGTTAATCATCGGACACAGTTCGATATCCTTTTTTAAATACATATTTATCAACTTCTCAGTCTCTTGTTAACAAACTGCCTGTGGTTAAACATTTTATTGCAGCTGTTGAATTAGATAACATTTGAACCGTTATAAAGAAAGTTGGTCAGCGGCTCTCTAGATCTTTGAAAGTGAAACCTAGAAATAAATTAAACTATAGGATTGGCCCTAAAGGAAATTACCTTTCATACCGTTCATCCCTTAGCTAGATCATAAGCGGTTTAGTATGACGGGAGAAAAGGGAATATGGAGAAAGCCCAAGATGAATTATTAAAAATATCCTAGCTGAATGCAGCCCTACTCTACAAGTTTTACTAGTTAACCTGTATTGAATTGCGATCATAATACAACGAGAACCAAAGTGTTATTCATAGGTTTGTTTCCAGAA